AGAGAGAGAGAGAGAGAGAGAGAGAGAGAGAGAGAGAGAGAGAGAGAGAAATTAAAGGGCCAACTAAACTCCAAGTTTTCACTAATCCAAAAATCTTTCAATATGTTCTAGTTGACCCTTACAATTATAAACCACTTAAGTTGCAGGCAGAATTGCTTTTAAAATACGGTGGAAAAGTATAAATAACTGTCAATCTACAAAGAATAGAATACACATATAATTATATGAGTAATAATATAATTTCAGGATCTTTTTATTTCAAATAAGAACTGCTATTTATTGATGGCCTACTACCATTTATCTATTATATAGAAATCTATTGATGACTTTTTGTTAAAGTGATAGTTCTGTTCATATAGTGTCATGAGACATAAGAATATGATAAACAAGACTACGTTATAATCCTGTTATTAGATAATGAGTTCTAGCCTGTCTACCAAAAAAACAATAGTAATCTTCTTTAAAGTCTTGAAAAACAGTATCCTTTCAAAGAAAATGGGATTAATCAGATGCAGGGAAATAAATCTGGAAAAGTGTCAGCTGGTCAGTAGTTGACAGATCACTTAATCTTCCAGGCTGGTTTTCTCCTGTGTAAATGTGGAGAAGTGTATTAGATATTCTAATTTGAAAATCCTGCAATTTTTAGAAAAAGGTAAGAGGAATGGAAAATAGAAAGTGTGAGGAGGATGATTTTTTTTTTTAAAAAAGGTAAAACATTTTCATGAAACCACTAGTTCATAAAAGGTTAAGGGTTTTAGTTTCAACTGATAGGAAAAACAAAAAACATTTCATACAATACAGGGTGAGTATCAACAGAAGCTAGGGTGTTTGCAAACAGGAATTTTGTATACTACTGGTGTGAATGAGAATTTACACAGCACTTCTAGAAGGCAATTTGGAAACAAATTTCAAAAGCCTATACATTATAACTAAGAACATCAACTTCTAGGGATTTCACCTAAGGAAATTATGTCCAAAAAATATACAGCAGCCAAAGGCCCATCCACAAATCTTTGAAATGCAGTGTTGTTTATAAGACAAAATATTTGAAAATAAATATATTCACTAGTAACAATTTTGTGCAGAAAAATATTTATTGTCATGAAAAAGTGTTATTGGGATATTACTAAATGGAAACAGTATTTTTAAAATTTTGTCCTTTATGATCCAATGTTAAACTATAATGTCTGGAGATACCACAAATTTAATAACTGGATTGTGGTGGAAGGGATTATAAGTGATTTTAAAAATATATTTTCTGAATTTGTACATGGTTTTTAACTTTTTATATGTCTAATATGCTCTGGTGTACTAAAAGAATAGAAGATGTACTAAAACTTTTAATATATATATAATTGTAGAAGAATCAATGAAAAACACAAAGCAGTATCTGCTTATGACATAGCTTTATGTGTAGAAAATACAAAAATTTTACAGATTAAACTATAGGAAATAAGAAAATTGAACATGGTTGCTGAATACAAAATTGATATAAAATATCAGTTATCTTTCTTATATTGGCTACATATAACTAGAAAATGAAACTTTAAACATTTGATTTTTATAATGCTATCTAAAAGTCCCAAATAAATAGAAATAAAGCTAACAATAGATGAGCAAAGCAAAAATATCAATATACACACATACACAGAGATATTAAAAAAACCTAAATAAAGGTATATAACACTTTAATGGTAGATTCATATTACAAAGAGTTCGTCCCAAATTGGCCTAAAAATTTAATATAACTGAAATAAACAATCCCAGGAGGTATTTTTTGTAGTAGATACTAATAAACTGGTTCTGAACTACATGGGAAATGCAAGAGTCAAGAACAAAAAAGGTAATCTTCACTAAGAACATTAACAAGTATATACTCTTTACATTAATTAAGACAATGTGGCATTGGTACAAGCATAGACAAACAGATGGAACAAAACTAAAATTTTAGAAACATGTACCCGTATATAAACACTGGATGATATAGTTTGGATATTTGTTCCCCCCAAACCTCATGTTGAACTGTAATCCTCAATTTTGGAGGTAGAGCCCAGT